TGCCCCCAGCATACACTATTATTCTATTATTACAATACTATATAGGTGGCCTTAGGCCCCCGTCATACAAATACTATATATGTGGCCTTGGGCCCCCATCATATACTATTCTATTATTACAATACTATATAGGTGGCCTTAGGCCCCCGTCATACAAATACTATATATGTGGCCTTGGGCCCCCATCATACACTATTCTATTATTACAATTCTATATAGGTGGCCTTATAGGCCCCCCTCATACAAATATTATATATGTGGCCTTGGGCCCCCATCATACACTATTCTATTATTACAATTCTATATAGGTGGCCTTATAGGCACCCGTCATACAAATACTACCAGGAGTTAATAAAAACAAAAACACTTTATTAACTCCTGATACCATATATGTGGCCTTGGGTCCCCATCATACACTATTATTACAATTCTATATAGGTGGTAAAATATAGGTGGTTCTATATAGGTGGTGGGTCATACAAATATAACGCCGTTACGCCGGCAACACTATAACGTGCTACTAATAAACTTAACGAGTGCTGCACTGGCGCTTGTCTTGTTTTTTTTTCTTCTATTTAATGCTATATCTATGCCTATGGGTAATTCAATCGGCATATACCATTATAACTTGTTTTAGTATTACTAAAATACGTAAACAAAAAGAACTATTGTCGGTCGCGGAAGGGTTATTGTCGGAGTGAGCTGACAGGGGCTGGAGGCCACCAGCGGGGGACGAGATCACACTTGGATGTGGATATCTGTCGCCTGCGAAAGATGAGTGTGAAGTACAGATTAGAACTGTTGCGCTCACAGGCACTTGGGACAGAGTCAGTAAAAACTGAAAATAATATGAACGCACATTCACAAATACTACCCCTCAAGTACACTTCCACTGTTGTGTCACTGTATATCAACTTTCTTTCACAAAAGCTAATGCAGAACTATGGAAGCCCTGAAACGACATACGACTTTTTGAGTTTTCGAGTTTCTGAATTTCGTATCGTATATAGTACTAGAGATAGAGGTCAAGCAAGGGTCACACGGGGAATAATGTAAACACGTGAGAACACGCATTGAGAAATGTTTTTAAGTCGAAAACAGACACACTGCGCATGCGTTATGACAGAGATTCTAAATTAAATTTAAATTAGGCCTTATGCATTCCCGCTTAATAGAACACACATTTATTCTCACGGTATAGGGGATTCTATATTTGAATATGCTATCTCGCTTAAAAAGGCACCCATATTTACTCTCATGGTAGGGGATTCTAAATTTAAATTGTTCTTTCCCGCTTAAAACAACCCACATTTACTCTCAAGGTAGGGGATTCTAAATTCAAATTGTATTTTTCCGCTAAATAACACATTTAATCTCACGGTAGGCGATTCTAAATTTAAATTGACTTTAATGTCACGGAATAACGTATGCGCAGTGTGTTCATTTTTGGACTTCAAACATTTTCTACGACTCTCTCAGCACTTTATATATATATTGATGGGAAATTCAGAAACTCAAGACAAACAAGACAAGAAACTCGGAAACTCAAAAAGTCGCATGTCGTCTCAGGTCTTCCATACAAAATAGCTAAAAAATGTCTTTGTCTAGTAAATATGAGAGCTGGACAATTAACGACTTGAAAAAGGAACTGAAAAAGAGAAATGCATTCGTTTTTAGGAAAGAAAGTTGATATACAGTGACACAACAATGGAAGTGTAATTGAGGGGTAGTATTTGTGAATGTGCGTTCATATTATTTTCAGTTTTTACTGACTCTGTCCCAAGTGCCTGTGGTTGCGCTTTCTATCGTTGGTGTATTTCATGATCACCTAACAGTGAAACACTATATGGCATGCAAACATCTAGCCCGACCAGGCTGTGTGACTAACGTCAATATACACAACGTCTTCCAACCCTAACAAAGACCGTTTCTTAGAGCTAGCAAACATCATAACGTATCACCACCATACGCGCGTACACATACATTGATTGACATGTATAGTGTTTTGATCGTATTGCTTTTGTATTAGCTGGTGTGTAAAATGTATGCATATACCATTCTTTCACATGTTCAGCAAATATATGTATATATTATATATGTCATATATATATTATATATATATATATATTATATATATATATATATATATCTATTATCTACTCCTGATATATATATATATATATATATATATGAACATTTATAAATATGAAATTAGAATAATCTGTGAATTTTGTATATAATATCACCTTAATTTTATTCTGTTTTTAGCTCATCTGACATAGTCAGATGCAGCTTGTAGAATCGCATGATCGTCCGTCCGTGCGTCCGTCCGTCCG